GTGCATCGCTGTACAGACTCGCACTTCTCAGAGTTAGACTCAACTTTCCTGAAATTAACAGCACCCTCCTTATAGTCTTCATCAACAAAGTGGCGGGGAGGCAATGCGTGTGTGTGTGTGTGTGTGTGTGTGTGTGTGTATGTTTCTGTGTTTGTGTGGGCGCATGTGGGTGCAGCACAAATGGTAGAATTTTTGCTCAGTAGCCTAGGATCGTGACAGCCCCTTGTACAACAATCTGCTTTCCTTCCTGGGGTCACCCTCTGCATTTTGTCCAGTGTCACAGCCACTGATAGGGGGCCTGACAAGGAAACCAGCAAGTTCCTCCAACATCTGCACCCCAGTGTGTGTGTAAGGGGGCAGGAGTGGGGAGTGGGGGCAGGTCACTAACTCAAAGCCACAGCGAGAGGCTGAAAAGAGAACCAGAAGTTATTTCTGATCCAATCTGAGAGACTGCCAAAACATACCGAGAAGCAAAAGGGAGGGCCAGGAGAACAAGCACATAGGCAAGGGGGACAGGCCAGTGGCCAGGCAAAGGCCAGGCACATGCCCCTTATCTGTTCCTGGGCCTTGTGGATTGTGTTCTACTTGAATGCTTTATCTACGTGGAAGAAGAAACACAAAAAGCACTACTCAGGAAAGACATAAATAACCATCTTTTCCAGAGGGGCTGTTCTGTTGGAGGCACTGCCCAGCTCAGGCTGTCTTTGAGCCAGGCCAAGGTTGTTCTGTGTGACTCACTGCTGCATCCCAGGAGCATAGCCCAGAGGCCCTGTCAAGGAGCCCAGTCCCTGAGGTCACTGCTCGCCTTGGAACTCAGACGACATGCATTGTGAATTTACACTTGACAAAGGTAAATTTCACATATGCTGGGAAAGGATGGATTATTCATACACCCCCTCCCCCTCCCCTCTGGGTTTGGGGAAGTGGTTTCATGGTAGAGCACTTTCCTTGCATGTGTGAGGTCTAGGGTTCTACCCCAATTTTTGTTAAGAAAATTTTGGGGGAAGGTTTGATTTTTGGATCACACCTTTGGTGCTCAGGGCTTACTCCTGGCTCTGGAGTCAGGGGCCACTTCTGGCTGGCTTGGGGGTATCATATGGGGTGCTGTGGAACTAACTCAGGTTGGTCACATGCAAGACAAGAGCCCTACCCTTTGCACTTCACTCTGGTGACACCCCCCCTTTATTATTTATTTTTTGCTTTTCCTGTCACACCTGGCTATGCACAGGGGTTACTCCTGGCTCTGCATTCAGGAATTACCACTGGCGGTGCTCAGGGGACCATATGAAATGCTGGGAATCGAACCTGGGTTGGCCGCATGCAAGGCAAACGCCCCACCCACTGTGTTATTGCTCCAGTCCACCCCCCTTTATTTTTAAGAAAAAAATATATATATTGGTGTTAGGTTTACCAGCTCCTATGGGGCAGAAAATAAAATAAAATTAGATCCCGAATTCATGCCTACAAAAAAGTTCCCAAATGGAAGTAAGGATTGAGAGAAAAAATTAACTGAGGACTGAAAGGAAAGAGAACACAGTATTTTAATTAGGAGGGCGTTCCTGTTCAAGACAGATTCAATTACAATAATAAGCTCATTATTATTCATGCTACTTTTCTATATATACAAATTTATTCTAAAATAAGAAGTTTAGGGCTGAAAAGATAGTACAGGGCTTAAGGCACTTGCCTTATATACGGCCAATCTGGGTTTGATCTCTGGTCCCCTGAGCACAACCAAAAGTGATTCCTGAACAGACAGCTATGTTCCAGAACCTTTAGCACCACTGGGTATGGCCCCAAACCCAAGATAAAATAATAAGTTTATTGGAAAAGTATTAGGATTCGGTTTTATTGTAATCCAATGATAATTCTAAAAGTTAAAAGTTTTTAGTTTACTAAAAGGTAACAGTGTCTCTCTCCTTCCTTCCTCTTTCCTTCCTTGCTTCCTTTCTTCCATTTTTCTTTTTTGTGGTCCCATGGCTTGACCCTAGGGTCTAACACATGCATTCAAAAGATACAACCCTGACCCCTCATCAAAGGTAAATGTGAAGGTATTAAAAAAAATTTGCAGCCGTAGAAGAAATAATTGTCTGAAACATATAATGAGCAATATGTAAATTAATATGACTAATAGGAAGATAAGTTAGAAGAAAGAAAAATGGGCAAGGAATATAGAGATCATTTAGAAGAAAAGAGAAACGCAAAAGATCAATAATTATGTAAGATTCTCAATTTCACTGGTAATCACAGATGCTCAACATGCTCTGCTAACAGGCTGCTTTAACTTAAGACCCAGAACATGGAGGTGGTATTGTTAATGGGTAAGAGTTTTCTGGAGACCAAATCTTAAACATATGTAATTTTGTGGGGACCACACCTGGTAGTGCTAAAGTGAGTACCTGCCCTGGGGATGAACCTGGAGCCCCTGCGTGCAAAGCTTGTACTCCAGCCCTCTGAGCATCTTCCTGACTGTTAGGTATACATCTTTTGGGACATTTAGCAATTTTCAGTTCAAGGACTTTATCCTATGGAAATATTTCAAGAGGTGCAAAAAGCTTGTACACTTGAAACCACTAGAGCAATATCCAGTGTTAGAAGACGGGTTGTCCAGATACCAGGGAAGACTACATAGCTATTATAAAGAACTGAGGTTCTCCTCCTATTTGGGGGCAATCAAGCCCCACTTAAGCCGGAGACAGACATAGCACAAGGGTAACGTGTTTCCTTTCCTGTGGTTGATCCTAGTTTGATCCCTGCCACTGTATACAGTCCCCTAAGCCTTGTCAAGAGTGATCTCTGAGTACAGATACAGGAATAAATCCTGAGCATCATCAGATATTACCCAAATCAATGCACTCCAAATATCAAAGAAGTTCTTAAATATACAACTTTAAGTGAAACAACTTGAAACAAAACTAATTTTACTACACATGAATATAAACAAAAATGTCTACAGCTTCTTTTTTTTTTCCAGGCCACAAAAGCATCATCAAATTTCTAAATAGAGACCCCATAATATATACAACAAACCATGTATATCCATTCATTGCTTTCCCATCCTACTCACTCCACTTCAGGGCTGAGTGCCCATCTGGTTCACGGTGCGCTCATCGCCCCACTCTCCCAGGGTTGTTTTTATGTTTGTTTTGGAAAGAGTCCCTAATGGGGCCCATAATTAAAATCTGGCACAAAGGACTCCTTGGTGGTGCTGGGGGCCACCAGGGCTACTCGGGCAATGCTCAGGAGGACTTGTGGAGCTGAGATGGAACCCGGGTCTGTGCACGCCTGGCCCATGCTCCAGCCCTTTGTGCTGGCTCTCCACACACTCTCTAACTGGGACAATGAACCTCCTGTATACACTTTAGGGATCCAGGAGGACAGCTGAGTCCCCCAAGAAAACCTACAGAGTCCAGCGGAGATGCAGTCAAGTGCAAACCCCACACAAATAAGAGTTCCTTTTTTCCCCTCATCAACATTATCACAAAGAAATACTGGATAATGTGTTACTCAAGGGTCCGTTGTAGATTCAAGGAAATGAGCATGAAAATGGTTTGGCTGGAGCCAACTGGCAACTGGGCAATGGGCAACCCAGTCCTGGAGGCCAGGTAAGGAGCTTGGTCTGGACCTTCAGTAGGGTGGGCGGATGGGGGAGGCAGGACCATAATCAGGGACTCCATGAAGTGCAGAGTGAGAGGAGTTCGAGATAGATGCTGCACCAACACCCAGGGGAGGAGCAGAAGGGGCTGATGGGCTCAAGTGACCCAGACGAGGTCCCGCATTCTGGGGTGACATGACAGGCACCTCTAAAGGACACTAGGACTTAGAAGGCCAAACAGAGCCAGTTGGGGACAAACAGTGATCATGAAGTGGGGGCTGGGAGAAATATCTAGAACTATGCATTCTACTGGCAGGGCTATGGGCTCCCCTCTGGGTGCTGAGCAGTAACCTAGATGCCAAGGTATGACACAGAAGGGAGGGAAAGTGTCCTGGTGGGGTCCACGTCTGAAGCCTGGGGGAGAGGTGCCTTCTGCTAAACAGTGGCACAGGAGGGAGAATGGGAACTTGACTTGGCTGTGCTCAGCATAAGGGCAGTAGCTAGATATAGGGCATTAGGCTGAGTCAAAGCCAACCTGCTCCCCAAAGTCGCATTTGGAGGCGCCATGGGTAGCAAGGGAAGGCCCCAGAAGGGTAACTGCAGGGGTGCTGGTGCCGGGGCCAGTGAAGATTTTGATGGTGGTGGTAGGGATACCCCTAAAGGGGCCCCAAGGACAGGCCTGGATGGAAAGGCAACAAATGTGGCATTCTCAGTGGGAAGAGCTACAGAGGCGCATCTGCAGAGAGAGCAGAGATGGGATGCGGTCTGCTGGGAAGGACAAAGAATTGCCCACAGTTGAGGCCAAGTGGAGGAAGAACCCCAGGACTCTGTTTCCCTTATTGGATCATTTGGAATAACTGATTGGGTGTGCCAGGTGGGTCTCTGTGTGAGCAATATGGCTGTGAGCCTGCTGAGAGGCTCTTCATGGAGGGGACACAAAGGAAAAAGGAAAGAAAAGGACAATCATTTCTGGTGCAGGTCTATGCAGAGCAGAAACCAAAACAGAATAAGAAACCACAAGTGGTGGGTGTGGGGGAGGCGGGGAGTAGGAGAATAGGGGGCCTGATTCAGCCCAGGTCTAAATGACAAGCAGGAACCCCTGCAAAGTCGGAGAGGGAGATGTGCGGGAGGAGGGTGGGGCCCAGCAGTCTGAAGCTAATTGTGTGAAGCAATTGTTTTGCTAATAAGAGCATGTTAAGAAAATTAGACTTTTTTCCCCATTGGTAATGAACTCATTAGAGGGTTGTATTTTTAGTTCTTTCTCTGGGTTTGAGATATTGGTGGAGAAGGCGGTTTGTGGAGACTGAGAGAGGGAATTCTGGATTCACAGCCCCACCCAGTCATGGGAAAAGAGTGCGTGTGTGTGTGTGAGTGTGTGTGTGTGGGGGGGGGGGAGGGTACCCACCTGCTCCGAGAAGTCACATCCAGGAAGAACTGCACGAGGGCCATCAGGTTATGGTGGTGATCTGACACGGAGCTCAGGGTCTGGCATAGCTGCTGGAGCTGTAGAGACAGCAGTGAGACCGGTTTCCACCCAACTTTCCACCTCTGCTAGCCCTGGGTGCTAGGGCAGAGCACCTCTGTGTGAGGAGCCGTGGGGGCCTCTACCTTCCCGGGCCAATCCTGAATGTTCTGCAGGAGCAGGAGCAGGAGCTGCTGGAGGTCCGTTTTGGGCAGCAGGCGGAGCCCCGTGTCCAGGCTGACACGGCACAGCAGCTCAATCAGGCCCAGGAGGTCACTGTCAGGGTAGGCCCCCGGCTGGCCAAGGGCACAGAGGGTCAGGATCTGGGCAAAAGAGAGAGCACAAGGTCAGGGGGGCCCCATGAATTGAGATGGCTCAGGGGTGTCCCTATTGCGACACCCTGGGGGTCCCTGGAGAGGGCCTGCACTCTCACCTTATAGATGAAGCTCAGGCTGGTGTCCAAGGCAATCTCCTGAGAGGGGTCCAGTGGCTCAGGCTGGCTCGGGCTGGTCTTGCTTTTCTGCCCTCTTCAGCGGAGAGGAAAACAAAGGACATAATGGAGAGTGAGGTGCAGGGGCCCCTGAGTACTCAGTCAAGGACTCTGTTGGCCTGTATGAGGCCCATTACTGATGCACGAATCCCCCTAAGTGCAGAGGATTACAAACTATAGCTTTGGGGTCTCTCCCACTGTGTGAGGCTCAGGGTTAGGGCCCAAGGTGGTGGCTGGGAGGACAGCACCTGTCCTGCAAGCATGAGGTCCTGACCCCATCTCTGGCACCGCCCCACACTTACTAGTATATGCCATCCCAGCCACAACTGTGCATGCTCCTCAGGACCAAGAGTGTGTCCCCAGCATGGCAACAGAGACAGCAATAACAAAGGGAGAAGAGGAAATCATTCAGTTAGGTTTGGTTTGGGGGCCACACCCAGAAAAGCTCAGGGCTTATTTCTGCTCTGTACTCAAGGATCACTCCTGGCGGGACTTGGGGGGGGACCAACACTGTGGGTTAGCCACAGTGTTAAGGAAAGTGTCCTACCCTCTGTACTATCTCTTGGTCCTGGAAACCCTTATTTAAAAAAAAAATCCCATAAAACCATATTGAGAGAAAAAGGAACCCAGGAGCTGGTTCTGGTTTTAGGTATCTGAGGGAATTTGTCCCTAGGATATTGAGGAGGGGGATAAAGGCATCTTAGGTTTGGGCAGGAGGGCTGTTATAAGCCCACTCCATGGCCCTTGTGTGTTGACTCCTTCCCTGACAGCGGCTTCCCCATGAGTGAAAGATGAAGCATCTTCCAGACCCCTGGCCTCCGAGAACCTGATGGTGGTAGTGACATTCCCTCCTCTCATCTGCTGCTTTTCTTTTTTCTTTTTGTTTTGGATCACACCTGGTGATGCTCAGGACTTCCTCCTGGCTCTGCACTCAGGGGTCACTCCTAGGTGAGGCTCAGGGGAACATGGGGTGACGCTCCCTGCTCTAGTTTTCGTGTTCTGGGACTTATATTCTGTTGTTCCAAGAGTTCTCAGCCCTGCAGCAGCTGTGGCAATCCCAGCCCACATGCAGCATGCAGGCTGATGCCAAGTAGTTCTCACATCAGGTTGGTTTCTGAAGGCAGCAATTAAGGTGAAAACCCAAGAAAGAAAAAGTCCACATGAGCACCCTCCCCTCTGTGGGATCTCCTTGTGTTATCAGTCCAAGCCGGGAGGCCAGAGCCGGGCCTTGTGGGGAAACCTGGTGATGGTGTTCTTCTTTCTCTTCTGATTGGCTTCTGGCCATGCCCAGTGATGCTTAGGAACTACTCCCAGTAATACAGGGGGCTGCTCCTGCTGATGCTCAGGTGGTAGAAGGAACCTGGGCCCCCTGCATGCCCACATGCAAAGCATGCACTCAGCTTAAGCCCACTAAACTCTCTAATCCCCTAAAAGAGATGCTTTTAAAGACCAGTCACGCTGAGAGGCAGGGCAGGAGATGCCCAGCAAGCACACTCAGTGGACCATGGTCTGTGGGACAGCCCTTGCTCCCGTCACATGAGTAGTGGGGACCCCTAATAAGCATATGAGCTGATGACGAGGCCCCCTTTGTGGTCTCATCCACTGCTCCATGTGCGCAATTGGCCTGGAGTGCCTGGTAATAGCAGGTACTGAGAAAAGGGAAGCTCTCAGTGATGACACTTGACAACAGTCTCTGAGGCCACTCTCATGGGCAGCAGCGTCCTGGGAGTTCTGGTGGGCTTCCCGATGCTATTTCTCAACGGGAGTTGGGGGTGGTTGGGATGGGATGGGGGGAGGGCAGAGGAAGCCCTAGCACATGGAGCAGGAGCCAGAAAGCCCAGCTGGCAACAGCAAGGCCTAGGTCTTGGCCCAATATTCTTACCAAGTTTTGCATTTGTTAGGGCCAGAGAGTGAGCAAATGAGCCGAGGTGGCATTGGCACATTTGGGGACACTCTGGGTCTGTGCCGATAGGGGCAGGAAGTCAGGATGGTTGCAGTTCAGGTGCACACACAGGGTGACTTCCCAAGGGGTGGGGGCAGTCGCTATGGCAGTGGCTTCATGGTTGTGTAAAGGGGAGGGAATATGCAGAAAGTGCAGTTGGTTGAGGTCCTGAACTTGGTCCCCTCTCCTAACCCTTCGCAAGCAGAGGGCGAACAGCATTGTAAACACAAGCACCACAGCGGGGCTTCTGTCCGTCTGAAGTGTCTGAGACTGGAGACTGCTGTTACCGGGTGCACATCCGCAGATTCCAGCAGGAGGCCACAGAACCCAAGAAGGTCCTCGTCACAAGCCCAGTAAGCCCATGTTTCCCAATGATCATGCAGGAGGCTCAATAAGTTCATTGAGGCACATTAAGTTAAACAAAGCTATGGATGGTTCTACCCAGGGTCCCTGATCTTGCCTGTCACAGCACCATCTCTGTCACTGCAGTCTTGGGGCCTGCTCACTCTGCTCATCAGTGACACTACTCTTGGGCCCATGCTGTGTGGTCTGTGGAAGATGGGAGGGGGCAGCAGTAGCCCTGCCACTCCCAGGGTCAGAACCACATACCAGCCCACACCCCAGTGACCCAGCTCAACCTGGCTGAGGTTAAGGCAAAGAAGAGGATAGAGGTGAAGTTAATGGCAAAAGAGAAGCCACTTTTACCTGGATCCAATTTCAGGATCTCAAGATAGTCACTTCCTACTTCCCATCCTTTAGCCCCCTTTGATAGGATGCCCTTCCAGTGTATTAACTGGCACTATTTACTGGTTGGCCTCTCATCCCCTGGTGACCCTCTCAGAGACCCAAGGGAAGATGCTTCCAGTTCTTAGCAACATCAGGGCCACTGGTCTTCAGTGGTCAGTCCTATGAGCTGGGTTTTGTAATTGGGAGCTGCTCGGAGAACCAGCTTCCCCTCTCTTTGTTCCCTCTTCTGTTGCCCCTTTTCCCCAGATGCCCTTCCCACAGTAGGGCCTCACTGACTCTGATGCAGGTCTTGATCTGAGGGGCTAGCACCCCATCACTGAGCTGCACTCCCACCCTGAGACAGATCTTTCTGAAAGGAAATCTTTGTTCATTTGCTTTGTTTTGGGGACACACCTAGTGGTGCTCAGGGGTTACTAGTTAATGCTTAGGATCAATGCTTAGGGTCATTTCCAGGTGCACTCGGGGATCATGTGGTGCCGAGGATCCAACCTGGGCCTCCTGCATGCAAAGCACGTGCTCAGCACGAGCTCTCTCTCCCGGCTCCTGGAAAAAAATGTGAGATGCTTCCCTAGGTGGCAAGCAATTTTCAGGACATCTAAGAATGGCACAGTAGTGACTGGTCTGTCAGTCTGGCAGCAGCTGGAAAGGCAGTCTCACTGGGAGGGCAGGCGAATAGACAATCCAGCCCCTCATTTCCCGCCTTGGCTCCTGTGAGAGCTCAGGGCGCCTGAAGGAGTTCATCCCTAGCTGAGCCCTGAATGAGGACCATTCTGGAAATCAACCGAGAAGAAACCAAGTGAACTGAGCCTGGCTAGGAGCTGGTGGAGGAGGCAGCCCCTGCAGTTTCTCCTGCACTTCAAGTATCCAGGAAGGAGGCCATACCCCAAGGAGGAAGACACTGTAATCGCTGGTGCTTCCTGACACTCCAGAGGTGTCCTCTTGCAAGTCACATATCTTGGAGCTTCCCCAAGCACAGCAGCCTGGAAGCAACTCAGAAACCCACCCCCACCCTGAACCCTTCGGGCTCAGGCCTGTCTGCGTCTCCAGGGACTGTTCGTTCAGGCCGGAAAACCTTCCTAGGCCCACCCAGTGGCTTGGCTGCTGGTCCCAGCCATTCTTCCAGAGCTATAACAGGTGGCCATCAGTCACAACTTCCGGGCCAGCTGTGACCCCTGCAGTGTCAACAGTCAGCCAAGGTGTGGACCCATGGAAAGAGGCAGAGGTGTCCAAACAGCCCCGGGGTGCATGACTGCACAGCCCTGCAGTGCCTTGGGGCAAGTCTTGGGACTAGGCAACTGCCTGTGTCCCACGAAGTGCCTGGGAAACTCCAGTCCTCGGGGAAAATATCTGAGATAGTGACCCGAAAGAGCACAATTCCAGTGACCCCTGTCCCCTGTAGCCTCCCCACTGGGTGGATCTGAGCTGAAGCTAAGGGGCAGGAAGTCACAAATCCAGGGCAGACAGGAGGGGAGTGTGGGGTGTATGCAGATCTTTGCAGAGTGCAGGCCCCAGGGCAGCACCTTTGAGCTTGGGGGCCTTTCTGCTTGCCAAGTGAACACTGGGTATGCACCAGTGCAGGGAGCTGGCTTTCCCTAAAGCCCCCCAGGCCCTCACCCCTCTGTGCAGCTCTGTTCTTGAGTGATTCTCTTCCATCTCGGCTGCTGGGGACTGGGCTCGGGCAGGACGCTAGAGACTGAGGAAGCTGAAGGGCAGGCTGGCACATGCATGGGTATTTATAGCAGGGCTGAGTGAGCTTTGGTCTGGTTGGGTTTGGCAGACAATTACTACACACAGCCATGGAACAGGTTCTTAGGAAGACTTGAACCTGACCTCCCTCTCAGGAACACCCACCCACCACAGCCCGGGAACAGCCCTGTAGTTCCTGGGGCCACGCAACAGTCTGTTTAAGCTCCTCACAGGCCCTCCAATCTCAAACAAACTTCACCAAGAATTTGCAAAAGAGAGTTCGGATGCGGTAGGGCCAAGGATGTGATCTGGTGGTAGTGCTCATATCTTGTGCGTGTTAGCCCTGAGTTCGATCCCCAGCAACAGAAATAAAAAATTAAGCACCCCTGCCTGTGGCAGGAATGATATTAAAGGCCTGGGCCTTGCATATGGCTGACCCAAATTTGAATACTCAGCACCACAAAGAGTCCCCTGAACATGGCCAGGGGTCACTTCTGAGCACAGAGTCAAGAATGCCCCTGAACACTGCAGGGCATGGCTCAAAACAACAGTAAAAAAAAATTAAGCCCCCACCTCCCACCAAGCACTGCCAGGTGTGGTTTCAAAACAAAGTGCTTGGATATGCAAATATTCACACAATAAGCTATTAAATATAAATATTTTCACAACTCAGGCCTCACTCACCCACCCACCTACAGGTGACTTATGTCCTAAGGGGTTCTGTCCCTAGAAGACAGAGGTGGGTAAGCATAACAGCATGTCAGTGCATAGACAGAGCACCCATAAAACAAAACTGGCACTCACAAGGAAATGACAAGTCAAGTTTGTCTTGGAGGACATGAGCTGACGCTGTAACTGGGGTAAGCCGGGGAATTTGTTTTAATTTCTGCTATTTTGTGGTGCCATGTTCCCAGCTCGAAGATTTGATTTTTAATGTTTTTTTAAAATGCACATACTGCTCTTCTGAGTACTGCTGGGTGTGGTTCCCAAGCTGGGAAAAAGGTGCATATTAAAGTCCAAAGAGACAGCGCAAGGGTTGAGGTACTTGCATATGCCTGGCCCAGGGTCCATCACTGGCATTCCCTGAGATCACAAGGAGCTCAGAGTCAGGAGTAAGCCCTGAGTGCCCCTCGGTGTGGCCCCTCTCCCAAAAACAAATAAAAATGCAAGTGAGCCAGGATTGTAGTTTAGTGGTAGAGCACGTGCTTCATATGTATGAAAAAGAACATAAAGTAATCACAGAAACCCTTTGGTTCTGATTTCTAACACAAAACTGAGGATGCACCAACATGCTTTGTACAGTTAATGACCAGCTGAAACTACTTTTGCATACTCAAAAAAACTTCAATGTTTTTGACTGATTGATTTTAGTTTGGGGGTCACACTTGGGTTTGCTCAGGGGCTACTCCTAGCTCTGGGCCTGAAGGTCATGAGCTAGCAATGATCAGGGGACTTTTCTGTTCCAGAGATCAAGTCTGAGACTCCCACATGCAAAGTATGTGTTCCAGCCTATTGAGCTCTCTGGACACTTGAAAATACTTTAATATCTCCCAGTATATGTTTAGAAGAACCTTTGTTTGGTGATATGCATTGCTGGTGAGATATGCAGAAATGCAACTGCACATATGTCAGATGTATTTCTACTTACAGGAGCCATTCCCTGTGGTACCTGGGGGCCTCCAGAGTTATAGCAGGTAGTGCTGGAGCTCAAGCCATGTAGTACACGTGATCTGACTCAGCACGCACTCTATCACCCTGAACTACCTGGACCATTTTACATACATTTCGTTAAGTGTTAATACTTTGACATTAATACTAAGATGCAATATGCAAGCACCTGTATGATTTAACATCTATGATTTCATGGGCTTGAAGACAAAAAAGAAGAAAGGACAGTGAGGAGGGGAAGGACTCACCTCCCACACTCCTGATCAGGCTCCTGGGGGAAGAGATGGACATCATGGGCGCCCAGGTTGTGAAATGCCTCCACGATCTCCTGGAGAGAGGGGTGCCACAGGTTCAGGTCTCCCTCTGTCAAGCAAAGAAGGGCAGAGGTGAGGGAGGTGGGGGCTGGTTACAAGGCTCCCACGGAGACACAGGGGTTGATCCTGCCTTCTGAGGCTGCAGGGTGTCATCTGCAGACATGCAGGAGCTGGAGGTTTCCAGGGCTTCCTGAAGCTTAGGGCACTGGCACTTGTAGCCTCTGTTCTTCAAGGGATAGTCACGCTCCAGGCCCAGGGCTGGGGAGTAACTGGGCACAGACAAGCTCAGCAGTCATCAGGGCATTGACCCAGCCAGGAGTTCTAGACCAGACTCCTCAAACCGCAAGACTCAGAAGAGCCCCACCTCACCACTGGCTCTAGCATGGGGCTGACGATGGCTGGGAGTGTAACGCCGACTTCTGCCACCTGGCTGCAACACTGGGATGTGCCCAGGTCCCCAGTCCCAACAGCCTGGAAGGCATCTCCTCAGCCAGCCTCAGCTCCCAGCATCCTTCTTTCATCACTAGTTCAACTGAGTATCAGTGACTATCTGGTCAGGTGAAGCCATCAGCCAACACTCTGGGCTTTCTCTTCTGTAGAACACCAAGGGGCATTTCCAGAAACAGGAGGACAGAAAACAACCAAGCCCAATGTGATCAGTGAATCTCCCAGGAAGGTATCACACAATTCCCACCTGTGTCTGCACTGTGACTTCCCACTCCTGCAAAAGGTGGGCCCAGGTCTCCACCTGTCATCACTCTGCACCATCTCATGTGTGGATTTATCTACTTTTCAATCTACTGGAATGTAAATCCTATGAAGGAGGCTCTAGTCTGAGCTGTCTGCAGACCCAGATCTTAGAGGAATGGCTGCTATGGGAGGGCTTTTTCTTTCTTTCTTTTTTTAAAATAGTGCCAGGGATCGAACTCAGGGCCTCACACATGCAAGGCAAATGCTCTCCACCTGCTGACTGCTATAAAGGAAGATGAACAAATGAATGAAGGAGTGAATGGAGAAAATTCTAATCAAACCTGACAGAGTTGTACGGAGCTATGACTGAAATAGAAAGTTACAAGATAATCTGGCAGTATCAAGAACATAAACGCTGGAGCAGGGTGAGAGAGCTCAAAGGCTAGAACCCTGAGTTTAAGAACAGGCGCTGAAAGGTCCCCCAAGCAACCCAGGGAGTGTAACACCCTCCCCACCACCACCCTCAACCCCCCAGCATCTTGGATGGTGCAAAAAGGAAACAAACATTAAAAAAAATCCGAATGCAGAATTTGATAATGGGCAGTCTTTGCAATCAAGAACTTGGAAACCGAGCATGAGGCTTGTTGGAAGGACATGCTTTGCCATTCTAATGGTTCCCTAAGGGTCCACAGCAATGAGCCCCAAGTGTGGAGGCGCCAAACATAAAGAAGTGCCCTGGGCTGGGGAGATGACTCAAAAGGCTTGCTCAGTTTGATCCCGACACCAAATGGTCTCCCAAGTACTGCCTGGAGCAGCAGCCCAATAAACAAAATAAAGAAGTGGTCCAGTGAAGATCTTGACCTCAGGGAGCTCTCAGTGTGGGAGGGCAAGGATTCCAGGCAAATAAACACAAGGGAGTTTGTGCAAAACCTAAGACAGGCAACAGAAGCAACGGGTACATGCGTGTTCAGAGATCAGGCATTCACTGGGGCAGGGGCAGGGATGGGAGTGGGAAGGAAGTGTTGCAGGCAGATAGGAAGGGGGGGCCCTGGTAAAGTACTTTTGGGAAATAATAAATAAAACTAAGGAGATTGCCTAACCCTGAAGCAGTCCAAGGCATGAAGACCACATGCAAATACTGAGCTCTTTGGAGAAAAGAAACTTAGGCCCCACTCAGAGAAAGACAGTCCTTCAGAAAAGGAGAAGCCACAGAAGAAGCTATGTGATTGTGGCAGATCCATAAACAGAGCAGGCCTGAGATTATGAGCAGACCATCAAGAGTGGAAGGTTTTCCTGTGTCAAAGCCCACATTAATTTTTATGTGTGCAAAAGCTCAGAAAAAAACATTTGGAAGACATGCATAAAAGTTCCTCCTGAAAGCCATTCAGAGGTTGCTCTTTTTCCTTAAACACGTTCTTCCTTTTTTTCTTTTTCCTCTCCTGTTACATCTTTCTAAGTAAGTTTCCGTAAAAACTACCTTGCTTCACCATTTCGCCTCCTCCTGAAATTCTTTTCTGTGAGGGAAAGGAGTGACCTGATTAAAGCCAGGCAATTCCCTGAGCACTGGTGACCGAGATGGGCTGAGCAGAAAGGTAGAAGTACTCTTCCCTAGCTACCTCTCTTGTTCCCCACTTTACCAAATCACCGGTAATAGAAGTAAGAGAAGTATGCACCCAGCAAAGGAACAGAAGTGACCAAGGCAGAGGTGCATGACCAAGCACTGCCCACCACCTCCCCCAACTCTGGCCAGACCCACAGTAAGAAGTGGAGCATCCCAGCCTAGGACTGGAGTGCTCTAAGGCTGGGCATGGCCTTTGCCTCCCGGAGGTCTCTGCTGCATGGCAGCACACAGTACCCCATGCACTGCTACGTGTGACCCAAACACAAAGCTGGGAGGAGGCCCTGAGCACCATGGGTATAGCCCAAAATAAAAAAAAAAAAACTGAAGAAGAAATGGAGCAGCCTAAAGGCATGGAGATCTGGTCACAGCAGACGGAGGAATGGAGGGTCTCTGAGTCCCATCCAAGGACGTTTCCATGGCGTCAAGTGTCTCTCTCTTTGGAAATGTATATGGGTCGGGGCTTACCCAACAAGTAATTAGACTCTTAGAGGAGGAAAAACTTTCTTCTTTTTTTTTCCTCTCCGGCAACTTAACAAGAGATCAGTAATGACAGCCCTTGCCAGCTCACAAACCGGCAGGGAAGGACGCCTGCAGAACACAATGCGGCCCGGCCCGGAGAGAGCTGTTTACCAGAGCCCTCAGGAGCCTCGGCACGTATGTGCATGCAGAAGTGGGCGGCGATGAACTTTCCAGAGAGGGAGAGACACATGTGGAAAGAGAATCAAGCCCAGGGAAGGTCCTGGGAGGCCTGGCTGGGCCCAACATCCTGTCGGTCTCACACCCCGAAGGTCACTCTGATCTGACAGCCCCCCGCCCACAGGGGAATCTGCTACTCTGAAACCTCCCCTCACCTCGGGGAGGGGGCTGGTGCCCATCAGCCTCTACCTGGACCCTGGCCTCACCCCCTCTCCGGCTCCTGCCCCATAGTCACCCTCCACCACAGTGTAATCCCGACTGGGGTGCAGGAGCAGGGGCAGAGACAGGGGCTGGGATGCCTTGGGATCCACCAGCCCCCTGAACACCCCTGGAAGTTGGCTAAGGGAGGAAGGCACTGGGAACCCATAATTAATGCTACCTCTAAAAGCAGGCCACGTGCTCATCTTCCCTCTAAGTGCCCAGTACAAATGAGCGTTTTCTGGAGAGCCAATACAGAAGAAAAGGCGAGCTCAAGGTTTCCAGCTCCCGCTTCTAACTCGGTTTCTCCACGCCCACGGCACAGTCATTTGAGGTGATTTCCCAGGGGAGCACCAGGGCCCTGAGCCTGTTTAAATGCCAGCGCTAACGGAGGGTGAGCATCTGGCCTCTGCTGAGCAGCTGAGCTATGGGCCTCCTTGTCGGCTGCTCTCCCGGGTAGGTAGGGGGAGTGCAGCTTAGGGGAAGCAGTGGAGAAAAGTATCAGGCCTAAAATAAAAGCAACTTTTCCATCTGTGCCTGTGAAGAAGCTGCGACTTCATATAAGGCCACACTGTTCTCCTGGCACTCTCTGTGCAGAATGGGAAAACCACACTCCCCGCGGCCCCCGCCCCCCACCCCGAGTCTTCCCGGAGCCTCTCCAGGTGCCAGCCCCAGCAGTCCTGGCCTGGCCTGGGACTCCAGGATTCTCTCCCACTCTCCCACCTGGTCTATCTTGGTCATAGTGTGAGATGGCTGACTCTCTGTTCTCCCACCACTTCCAACCTAAGTTACCAAGGAGCACTCGTGGGAACTGCCCTGCAGGGCCAAGCAGCTCCATCTGCCTGCTCCTGGCCCTGCCTCTGGACTCCACAGTGCCACAGCTGGAAAGGTCCCCATCAGCTACAGTGGTGAGGGCTGGGCTTCCTCAAGGGGCTCCCAGCCTGCTGGGTGAGGCCTGCTCCGAGCTGGGCTCTAGCTCCAGGCTCACCACATCTAGGGGAGGCCTCAGGTCTCACTGTTGCTCATCCTGCCAAATCTAATTACTTCACTTCTCTCGGCAGTTTGTTTTTAAATTTAAGCTTGCTTCAATATGGCTGGCTTTAGTCAATCAGTTTTAGCTTTAGTTATTTAAAATTTTACCAGTTTCCAACAATTTGAAAGTAGGACATTTCCATTTGGTCTGACTGGCACTACTTCTGGGTCTGGGAACGCTATTATTATGAATTTATATGGAAAAAAATAGAGAGTCCCCATTGCACACCACACACACACACACACACACTCAACCCATCTACAAGTCACACATACACACACACACAGCCCAACCAGACCCCCATACACACAATCAAGTATCTATGTGCATACAACTCTGACCCACTCCTCAAACAACCCCATACTCACATCCCACACACATGCACACACAGAGATCGTGTCAGCTCCTGGTCCACTTATTCATAGGAGTAAGACTGTAAGAGGGTAGGTGCCACTGTCCCTAGGCCACCTTGTAACTCACACCACCACCTGGTGTCAACTAACACCTAATGCACCCAGGCCTCTGGTGAGTAGGACAGACAAGCACTGTGCTCAACATCACATCTATTCGTATTGGTGATAACTAAGTTTAGCTATAAGGAACCGAAAACAAAATAGTAACCCACAAATAGTAACCCATGCTCACACTTAGATAAATGTAAGCATGCATGTATGCACATGCATGTGTGTCTCTGCGTGTGTCTGGTGTGTACCAGAAATCAAAGCCAGGGCTTCACACATGCAAGGCAAGTGTCCTACATGCAAAGCATCCCTGGCCCTAAATAAGTTAGAATTTTATGTCTGAGATGAAA